TACATTGCATGCTGATGTGGTGCTGCCACTGGTTTACATTGCATGCTGATGTGGCGCTGCCTTTGGTCTACATTGCATGCTGATGTGGCGCTGCCTCTGGTCTTCATCATCAAATAGACGTTCATCTTGATGATCAGTACAAGACAACATTCCGGACTAGGTACGGGCACTATGAGTTTATAGTTATGCCCTTTGTACTAACCAATGCGCCAGCAACTTTCTAGCATTGTATGAACGATTTATTTAGGCCATGGTTAGATAGATTTGTTGTAGTGTATCTAGATGATATTCTAGTGTTCAGCAAGATCCCCCAGGAGCATGAGGGTCATCTGAGGCACGTCTTGGAGAAGCTTAGAGAAGCTAACTTCAAGATTAATGCGAAGAAGTGCGAATGGGCCAAGACACAGGTTCTGTACTTAGGCCATGTCTAAGACGGAGACGACGTTCGACCTGAAGATAGCAAAATTGCAGCGATTAAAGATTGGCCAACGCCCCGCACACTGACAGAGTTGCGGTCGTTCTTAGGCCTAGCTAACTATTATAGGAAGTTCGGTAGAAACTTCTCCACCATCGTTGCACCCCTTCACAGGTTGCTAAAGAAAGAAGCAATCTGGAAGTGGGACAAGGACTGTACATCAACCCTGAAGAAGTTAAAGCGGGCTTTGATAGAGTACCCAGTCCTTAAGGTAGCCGATCCCTCCCTGCCTTTCGTTGTTACCACTGACGCGAGTCAGTATGGCATAGGCGTTGTTTTACAGCAAGATGATGGCAATGGATATAGGGCCTGTAGAGTTCATGTCTGTCAGGATGCCTTCAGAAAAGATAGCGACATCAACCTATGAGAAGGAACTCTACGCTCTCAGGCAAGCACTAGATCATTGGAAACACTACTTGCTTGGGAGGCACCTCAAAGTCTATTTAGACCACGAGACTCTACGGTGGCTGAAGACACAGGCCAAGATGACACCTAAGCTTACTAGGTGGGCTGCAGAGTTAGATCAGTATGACTTTGAACTTAAGCTAGTCAGAGGGAAGTACAATGTGGTGGCAGACGTTCTGAGTAGGAGAGCTGATTACTTTGGGGCGATAGTTCACTATCTGGATATAGGTAGAGACCCGCAGCAAAAAGTTAGAGAAGCGTATGCACAGGGCCCTATCTATAGTGGCCTCCTCAAGAGAGTTAGGGAGTCCCCAGAGTCCGAACCAGACTACCGCACTACTGATGGGTTACTGTTTGAGAAGACTAATGTAGCTGACCGTCTGTGCATTCCTAACAGTGAAGAGATCCGTAGTTTGATCTTAGGGGAATGCCACGACATAGAGGGACATTTTGGTTGGCAAAAGACACTAGCCAATCTCATGCGAGCGTACATCTGGCCCGGGATGAAGGCCGATTGCATAGAGTAAGTACACAGTTGTAAAGTCTGTCAGAGACAAGACTACTACGCGAGCCCCTCTTGGTCTTCTTAGACCCTTGCCTATTCCTGACAGACCTGGAGATTTTGTGTCCATTGACTTTATGGATACTCAAGTCAAGAGTAGGCATGGCAAAAGTCAAGTCATGGTTGTAGTAGACAAATTTAGCAAGTATGCAATTTTCGTCCCATTGCCTTGTGAGGCACGCACTGATTTAGTAGTTCAGAAGTTCTTTGACCATTGGGTCAGTGAGCATGGTATACCGCTGTCGATAGTTAGTGACAGAGATACCAGGTTCACCAGTCAGAATTGGCAGGTACTAATGAGAGTTTATGGTTCCAAGTTGCTGATGTCATCTGGCCGTCATCCAGAGACTAACGGTCAGATTGAACAGATGAATAAGCTCCTGCAGCAAGTTCTTAGGATGTACATTAGGCCCGACCAGATCAATTGAGATTAGATGCTCCCAAAGGTAGCCAGTGCATACAATAACAGCATGCACTTATCTACATGTCGCATTCCCAACGAATTGCATAAGTCCTTTAGACCATGCAGACCATTTGAAGGACTTAACCGGGATCAGATTCAGAGACTACCGCCCGGTACAGGAGAGTTTGCGATACAGCACGAGAAAGAGATAGCTACCGTTGTAGATAACCTAAGGAAAGCCCAGCGCAGAATGATAGAGCAAGCTAATAAGCATCGTCGCCCCTCACAGTTTCAAGTAGGTGACTTAGTCTGGGTCAAGTCAAAAGAGTTCGCTCCTGAGGAGAACATCTCACAAAAGTTGTTGCCTGCGTATAGAGGACCGTGGCCAGTCTTAGAAGTCAAGGGCGGAGAGGATGGACCGTCCTATACTATTGAGATTCCAGCACACCTCCACACCTACCCAGTGTTCCACGCGTCGAAGTTGTTGCCTTGCGTCACAAGTCAACAGTTTCCATCACGCAGACCTATGATTCCTCCAAATATGGATGGAAGATATGACATTGATGGGATAGTAGGTGAGAATGTCTTCAGGACAGGAGGTAGAGGTCGTCCACAGAAACAATACAAAGTCAGATTTGCATTTCAAGAGCCCGAAGACGGTCGCTGGTTCACGCGCACAGAACTTCTAGAGACAGCTCCCGACATAGTCAGAGCCTACGAAAGAGATAAGAAGGGTAAAGGTCCCGCCTTAGACTGAAATATTCTCGAAGAACCTCGAATTTAGGCCGCCGGGAGTGAAACGGTTTTCCCCTTTCTGCAGTCATAGATGCGGGCACTAGAGTTCGATCACCAGACCTTACCTTCCCCCTGTACAGTATCGAGTGGACCCTTGAGTGTTTTAACCCGTGACCTGTATTTTGGTAGTTGTTTGATGTCTGTCGTAGGTCTGTGTAGTCGTAGGGGTTCGATCTGTAGATCTGTTGAGTAGAGGTCACAACTCTGTAGAGGTTGTGGCTGTAGATGTTCTGAAAGGTCAAGGTCGTAGCTGCTACAGTCCTGAAAGTCAAGGTCGTAGCTGCTACCGTATTGGAGAGGCCAAGTCCACAGACTTCCGGAAGGTGACCTTTCGAAGTTGCCTCACGTTTAGTCAGAGGCAAGCGGGCAAGTGGTGAGCCCAACCTGCATTGAGTTGGCAGTGTAACTGCGTTACGTCGGCAGTGCGACTGCATCGAGTTGGCAATGCAAACCCATGCAGTCAGCGGTACCGGTCCCAGTCAGTCAGAGTCCAGTCAAGCAAGTACCGTGTGGGACTGTGTGCACTAAGGGCCTGGGAAAGTGGCAGACCAACGAGTTATAGAAGTATAAATCAAGAGGCAGCGCCCAGCCATTCATTCATTCGCTGCGTAAGCCATGCGGAAGCGCTGCTACAGTGTCTTGTGCCAAGGTGGTCTGCAGGTTGCCCGAAGTCGAAGTGGGCTGAAGAGCAAGAACGTGGCCACAACCAGTAGTGGTAGAGCGGCCATAGCCGTTGTAGGAGGAAGATAGACTTAGTGTGTGTGTGTGGTGGTATTCAGGGTGATCCAAAGTGAGTGTGTGCGAACAGTGGAGTTGGACACAGTGACGAAGGTTGTGATGTACAGGCGCCGATGTGCCATAGCTTGTTGAAGCGAGTTTACATCTGAACTGTGTTCTCGATTGCCATATCTCTAAGCTTTGAGTGGGCGTTGTGCGACAGGGTGAATCACCACCTATTGCATGTATTCGAAGTGGAAAAGTGAGCGAGTCTGATTGCAGCTAGTAGAATCTCAACAAGCAGTGCACATCCTGATACATACAAAAATGGTGCTTTGTAGCGCAGTGGAAGACTTAGATATAAGTCCCGACCTGACCGGGACAGACCTCTCTCACGTAGTACAAGACAGCATAGCCCAATGCTAGAATACCAATGACTATCCCAATGAATGTCGCAATGCAGACCAAACATACATCATCCTCATAACAAGGTGTGAAGGGGCCTGGCGCTACACACAGGAAGAATGCGCCAGGTCCAGATCATGCACAAACGAAGAGGAGGGAATCAGACGAAGAAGAGGGGGGGGAGATGGGAATGTTGTCAACACCAAGTCTTCATTACAAGTCCCAAATAATCCCTCGTCAAAATGTCTGAAGCCCAATGTCGAGTCTGGATACAAATGTCACCAATCCCGCTCTCTTGTAGTCTGCTGATGCAGTGAAGTCAGGTAGCGGGAGGGTGAGAGGGAGATGGTGGACTGAATAGAGGAAGAAGAAGAACTCTCTCTCTCCCTCATGTGCCGGGTACGGACCTGTGAAGATGGCGTTGTGCTGCAGGTACCTCGAAGACGAAGCTGGAGCTATGGTGCTGCAGGTAAGTCTCCCTGGCCTCCGCCCAATTTTTCTCTCTCTCTCCAATACTACTCTAGCTCCTACTAGCGCCCAGCGCTGAATACTACTGCTAACGCTACTACTACAACTGCAGCGCTCCTCCAGAGTGCTGCTGCCGAATCCTGAAGACTACCTCCTACCTCCTGAACTGCATGTGAAGTGCCTGGGAAGTTCCTATGAACTGCCTGCAGCCTGCAGGGCGGGCCAGTCCTATAGTGCTGGCCCATCCAGGAGGCTGCTCTTGCCAATGCCAAAACGTGTCAGACCCTGGCGTTGAGGCTCAACCAAAGGTTGTCTTGAAAACAGATCCAAAATGACCTGTGCTAAAACACTGGTCTGCTGCCTAAGTTTCAGGGCAGGTCGATCTTATGAGGGCCTGAAAATGGCCCTCCGTTTCAGGCTGAAAAGACTCAGGGCCTGGAGGGCCCTGTCTTAGGCTTAAACGACATAGGGCCTGTAGGCCCTTGTTTTCAGGCTTTCAGGCTGAAACGACACAGGGCCTGTAGGCCCTTGTTTTCAGGCTTTCAGGCTGAAAACGACACGGGCCTGAAAATGGCCCGTACAGCCTGTTGCAGGCGCAACATGTAACACCAATGTACATGACGTCAACACCAATGCCGACCTCCCACATACATCAGGTACGTACTCTAGACTCCCCTCATCACCCTTGTCCACCCACACCTGCGCCTCCTCCTGAAGACCACTGTTACCTCCCTCTGCCCTCGCGCCCTGCAGCCTTGCTATGGCCGCTAGCGCCCCGCTGCCCTGCAGGGCCCCTCACCGCTCAGCGCCCACGCACGGCCCAGCCAGCGGTAGCATAATGCAGACATTTGCTCCGAATCACAGTAGTGTGTCCTCATTGCCTGCCTAGTCCAGAATGCCAGTCTGGCCGGCCTCCTCCCTATATGGGAGATGTTGCTGCTGTTGGCCTGTCTGGGCCTGGCCGTGGAAGCTTCCAGTAGCTTCTGGTCGGGCCCCAGTATCTGCGCCCAGGCCCATCTCTACAGTTGAGGGCCTGGGCCCTTTTCAGTTGGGCACACCCAGGTGCAAGGAAGATGAGCAATAGCGAACTTCAACAATCAAACAGCGTCATACACATAAGACCAGATAGTCGTGACCTCGAACCAAGAGCAAAATTGCATTACGAGTTTCACCAAATAGGATCACACCAACAACTCATAATTGACAATGCTGGAAAAGTCTCATCATCATCATCAACGAAGAACCAATGTTGATATCCTAACTGGCGGTTGGCGCCCAGACTACAGATGGCAGATCCTATCTAGCCTAGACTACAATGTCGAAGTTGACGACAACAGCTCTCCCGAAGTACGAGCAGATAGCGGCTAATGCCGCATGCTTCCAGCACCAGGTAAGTCTCTCGCTTCACTCACAACCTTGTTCCCCAACACACAGATGCCACATGCACCCAAGGACCACCCTGCGCCACACCCAGCTTACAGCAGCGCAGCTCGGCTATGGCTGCCTGCTCCTCCCTGCTCGCCCGTGAGCGCGTGAGCGCTGGCAAGCTATTAGCGCAGCAGCGCTTGTGCAGCATGCAGCCAGCACCCGAATGCCAAATGCGGAGGCAGGCCCTTTGCTATATGGAAGTGGCCTGCCTGCTTGTTGTCCCAGGCTGCGCTGGGCCTTTCCCAAGAAGCTTCCGGTAGGCCCCGGTAGGCTGAGTCCCAGTCCACACAACTCAGGCCTTGGGCCTGTAGTGGTTGATCGCGCCCAACTGTCAACGGCCTGTGTTAGGCCCACATCCCGTATCCAGCCCAGGGCCTGCCTTCGATACATTCAAACAGGCTGCCCAGGGCATGGGTTCTTCCAACCAACTGGCGCTGCGCACTGCCTGAATTTCCTTGAGTTGCGTGGTGACCGAAATAGGGGCCCTCAGGCCCTCGCCGTGCCTGCCCTCACTTAGGGCGGCCGACGTGATACTTGGCAGGGCCTGAAAGGGGCTCATAGGGGCATACGCCTCGCATTCCCTCCTCCATAAAAAGTCCTCGAAGAAGTTCAATCTTCGATGATCTGGCGCTTTCCCTTCTGCAAAGATTTCTCATATTGAGCTACGATCCGAGGAGCGGTCTGCATGAGTTCCTCCCTAGTGAACCAGCGGTTCTCCTTTGGATCCAGATGATGTCGGAACCGAACTCGGTACTGCAGCTTCGGTTTCGGAGGACGTCCCCTGCCTGTCGGTCTTGGAACGGGCAGCTCCCTGTGATCCACAATGTCGTCTATGTCCACCTCTCCATCCATGGTTGGGGGCAGCATTGAGCGTCGAGAAGGAAACTGATCTGTTTCCTTGAAAGGTGCAAGCTTGGAGGCGTGAAAGACAGGGTAAGTGCGTAAGTGACGAGGGATGCGAATAACATAAGACGGGCCATCCGGTTCATTCCCCACGACATCCAATACCTCCCACGGTCCGAAGTACTGTGGCATGAGTTTACGGGATATCCCGTACTCTTGTCCCAGTTCGGAGGAGACTCTTTCCCGTACCTGGAATGTGATGGGCGGCGGTGCTTGTTCTCAGACTCTATCATCGCCGCATGTGCTTTGTGCATCTGCTCAACAGCCTGCTGCATCAAGTGCTCATATCTATACGCAAACTCTAGAGTCCCTGGTGTAGCAGTCGGCTGATTGTCAGGTAGTAGAAAGTCTAAAGGCAGTCGGGGTCTGAAGGTCAGTAACAAGCTGTTAGGACCGACTCCGGTTGCGCTGTGTACAACATTATTGTACAAACTGGCGATGAGAGCAAGTTTCTCATCCCAATCTACCTGATTTGGCTTAATGTAATGCCTTAGCAGGTGTTGTACAGCGCGGTTCATTTGTTCAGCCAGCTCGTTTGCCTCGGGATGATTGCCTGATGTCATCTGCAGTTGCGTGCCTTGCTCTGCAGCTGCCGCTTTCCACAATTTATCTGGTAAATCGCACGTCCCGGTCGCTAACGATAGACTTTGGCAATCCAAAATCTCTAACCCAATTCTCTTTAAACATTTTAATCGCATACTCCGTCTTAGCTGTTGCCGGCATTGCAACTAAACTAGCAAACTGACTAAACCTATCCACAATGACGTAGATGTAGCGCATTCCACTCTTGTTGGCGACCAGCGTATCCATGAAGTCCATGGACAGGCTCTCACTAGGCCTTTTCGGAATCAGAAGGGGCTTCAGGAGCCCAAGAGGAACCTGAGTACGTGGCTTGTCTCTTTGACAGACCTGACAAGTCTCCACGTACAGCTTCGCATCTCTCATCATCGTGGGCCACCAGAACCGCTGCAACAGATTGGTTGCAGTCTTCCTAAAGCCAAAATGTCCGGTGGCATCATGACATTATCCTGAAAATAAACTACGTAAAGACTCCCTATTAGGAGCACACAAACGTTTATTCCCAGCCTTATCAAGGAACAGCAAGCCGTTGACCAACTCAAACTCGGCAGAAGTCACTTTGTCGTTTGCCTCGAGTCTGCGGATGATCTCAGACATGAACGGATCCTCGCGATAGGCTTCCACCAAGGACTGAGTAACATTGTCCGCAAGATCGAACTTAGTAATCAGCGCACTCGAGAAATCAGGTCTACGCGACAAGGCATCAACAACCTTATACTGCGGGTCAAAGTCATACTGCTCAATGACTTCGATCCAACACTTGAGAGCGTCAGAGAGTACCGGCTGAGTTCTCAACCATCTGAGGGTCTGATGATCAGTCCTGAGGATGGAAAACCTCCCAAGGAGATAGTGTCTCCAATGGGTCAGAGCCTTGTAAACCGCATAGAGTTCCTTCTCATAGGTGGGCTTAGCCAACTTCTGAGACGACATTTTCTTGGACATGTACTCAACTGGCCTCAACTTTTTCCCCTTCTCTTGTGCAAGTACGGCGCCTATGCCATATTGGCTAGCATCCGTAGTCACTATAAAGGGCTTGTCAGGATCAGGAAGTTTCAAGACTTCATAGTGCGTCGACTTATGCTTCAGATGTCTGAAACCAGCCTCGCATCTCTCAGTCCACTCCCATGCGGTGTCAAGGCGGGTCAGATCAGTCAAAGGGGCGGCAACTATGCTATAGTTCTTCACGAAGTTGCGATAGTAGCCGGTCATCCCTAAGAAAGACCTCATCTTAGTCACAGACTGAGGACGCGGTCAGTCACGAATGTTGGCCACCTTCGCGTCATCGGGCTTCAATCCCTCCGCAGAAATCTCATGACCCAAGTACAAGACATGGGTGCGGCCAAACTCGCACTTCTCACCGTTGATCTTGAACTTGTGTTGTCGAAGAAGGCTAAGGATTTTGTCCAAATGCGCAACGTGATCCTCGACAGTCCTACTAAAAATAAGTATGTCATCGAGGTACACGATGACAAACTTATCCAAGTAGTCATGGAATATCCGATTCATAGCGTGCTGAAAGATGCYAAGAGCATTGCAAAGGCCGAAAGGCATCACCACAAACTCGTACAGACCGTACCTGGTCTGAAATGCAGTTTTGTGTTGATCCTCGGGCCGGATTGCAATCTGATGGTACCCGGACTTCAGATCTAAATAACTGAAGTATCGGCACCCTTGCACTCTATCTAGCAAGTCATCGATGCGAGGTAGGGTCTCTCTGTTCTTGATAGTGATGGCATTGAGGCCCCTATAGTCAATGCACATCCTAAGTGTTCCTTCCTTCTTCTTAGGTACGAATAGTACTGGAGACCCATAAGGAGAAACACTCGGTCGGATCCAACCCTTCTCTACGAGTTCCTTGAGTTGCCGGCGAAGCTCATCGAGCTCGCCTGGACATCCGATAGATCCTACCCTTTGGGATACTAGACCCTAGGATAATCTCTATCGCGTGGACGACCTCCCTCTCAACAACCCCTCTCGGCTCTTCAAATAGATCAGGGTACTTAGCAACTACTCCCTCTATCTCCGGCGGCATTTTCACCGGCTCGCCAGCAGCAGAGACATAAACTAGGTATATACCCTCCTCCTGATTTT